GGAAAACAAATAGACAAATAATAGTGAGTTACAGACACAACGGGCAGGAGATTATCAATAGTTGTTGTACTATATTTTGGCATCTTCAAAGTGGCTTCTAAAGAAAATAAATAGAGCTATACATGAATGACCAATTGAATAATCATTAACTATTCTCAATGGTTGTTGTAGGAAACATATAATAATAAGCATACATCCATTTACAAAATAGGATAGGAACAATACAAACATTACAAAGTTATGGATAGATTAGTAGGAAAATATCAATGGCTGCTGTAATACATGGTGGTATCTTCAAAGTGGTTTCTCAGGAAGACAGATATGTAAGAACATCAAACTCTTTTGATGGGAAACAAGGAGCACAGATTTTTCATAAAGGTCGTGTGGTCAATGCCATTTTTGTCAAAAGTTGAGAACTGAATTAGTTTATTAGAAAATTAATGAATGCTTCCGCTGGTCAAGAAGGAGGAAACTATTTTAAAAAGAGAACAGAAAGACTAGGAAGAGGGGTGAAGTAGGTTGTCCATTAAGTATCCTGGCAGCCACTTCGGAGGATCTTACCTTCACTTAAGAGCCTGGTTTGGTGGAAACTGGCTTGGCCTGAAGTAATCTAACCTAACCTGCCCCAGGTAAGGAAGGCTCCAGGTAAAGGCAACTGCTTCTTTGACCAGAACATATTTATGGTCATCACCACTAACAACTCTATTTGGTCTTCACTAAATTACAAAGCAGGCATGCTTCTCATAACAAGTACAATACTGAAGCATATAAAGCAAATGTTCCCTTTGAATCTCCTACTTCCCCCACACCCATGGCCCATTTCCCAGAAGTAAATACTTGCACTTATCTTTTCAATCTTTAAATTCTGATATATGGGCATTTTCTTCCCTAATGAAATCCAGCTAGGGATTTAAATTCAATGTATTCTCTTACCTAATGCTTGCCCTTGCTCCTTAATCACCCACTTGTCTCTGTCTTGAGCCCATCTGTAATTGTACCCATTTAAAGTGAGACTCTCCTCACTAGTGAGATTTCCCTCCTTCCCTTGCACTGGTCGTCAGGGTGCAGGAGGAGATGGAGCAAAGTCACCAATCCACACTACACTTCTAACTATAGAGGAAGTGAGTGAAGGCCATGTGAGCTTTACTCACAGGCAAGTGCTTTGAGGCTTTTCCACTTCACATTATGATCGCTCCCCAGAACGGCCTCCCTAACTGTAGAACTAACCACCACCATGACACACAGACACCACGTCTGTGCTCTGCTAGAGTTGACTGCTCGTGCAGAGCCATTCTTTCAGATAACGAAGTCAGCTGAATACATGGAGACAAAGGGACATTTCATACACACTCGGCTCCGATTTTGGCAGTTGAAATAATACTGTAAGTGCCAGGTCTTCACAGGACAAATCTTGTCTCTGTGCATGTCAAATGTACTGGGAGGGTTCCCAAGGGATAGGGGCTACTGAACTGCAGGCCCAGGGAGGACTTAAATCACGATAAAATTTGAAGGCACTACTTTTTTACTCTGGATGTCAGCAAATATAAAATAATGATAGCTATCTCTTATTAAGCAGATACTCTACGTACTTTCATTGATTTAATCCTTCCAGTAACTCTGTGAATGACCATTAGAAAATGGTTGTTATTCTAAGCATACAGATGAGAGAATCGGCACTCAAAAGTTATATAACCTGCCCAATGTCACACATCCAGGAAGTGGCAGGACTGAGATTTGAACTTAGATCTGCCTGCTTCCAGAGGCCAGACTGCCTCACTGTCCCAACAATAGGGCTTAGAGGCCCACAGGACTTCTAGGACCCTCAAAAGGTTACATTTAAAAGGTGGGAGACAACCCCGAAGTCTCCCAACATGCTCACTCTTCTCATCCCCATTTCTGCCCCTCCCATCCTACTTTCTAGAACTAGGCAGCTGCCTCACAGATCAGAAGTTGAGGAAACTTCAACTACTCAACTTTGCATTTGCTTTGTGTTAGTGAATGCAAGTTCAAAAAAGAAAAACCTGCCTGAAGTCAAAATCTCTGAGGAAAAATTATTATTTTTAAGGTGGCAAGAATAAATATTTAATGAGACAGTTTGACACTAAATTTTCCTGTCTTAGCAACATCTCAAATGATAAAACAAGCCCTTGTCTACAGGGCTAATTACAGACTACTAAATTATTTTTTATTAAAGTCCTCTGAACTATTAAACATGACGGATGAAGCAGTGCGGTGCTGTATAACAGCTCTGGTTTGGAAACTTGGGTTCTTATTCTGACTCATACATTAATAACCACCAACAATCATTTTCCCATGTGTACACAGTTGGCAAAATGTTCTAACATACTTTCTACATCACTTGGGTGACCTTGCAGCAAGTCATTTAACTTTGGGTGTCTCATGTCAAAATTTGGGAAAGAGGACATTAAATTATACCATCTGAGGCCCCTCCATTTCTAACATCCTTAAGGGAGAAGACATATGCATTAGAATCTTTACAAATGTATCTGTAAACAAATCAGGCCAGATGTACTCTGCTCAGAAAAAATACAATTTCTGTTCAGCTTTTGAACAATGTCTCGTCTCAATTCAGGTATTGCGCATAAGATGTCTGCTACCAAATGTTTGCTAAGACTCAGAGAGTGCTACAGGAAAGCTCTGGTTTAGATTCCCATATGAGGACTTTCCCATTTAATCAGCACTACCAGGCCTAACTCTCACTGATCACTGTCCAAACACAGCCTCACAAAGTGGGCTGCCAGGAGGAAGGGCTTGAAGAAATCTAGCTTCATAACGTGTGCACTCTCTGGAAGGCCAGCCAGTACTGACACCAGCACACAGGGATATGAACACCATTCTTTAATTTTAAAACACATGAACACCTCTTTCAAGTCTTGCCATTTCTGTTTTAATGCTTCTGAAATTGGGATGTACCTTGGAAAAC